TTGGTGCACGTCCTCCTCGTGGTGTTCTACTGGTGAGTTTCAAATTCAACATAGTAATGGGACTGCTAGGTGGTTATCAAAGTGAAAAGCTGCAAGACTACTGATACAGTAATTGGAGGCTTCAAATCATAACTCATTGAAACTTTCTGCTTTCTGGTTATTTATTTATTTATTTATTTATTTAGTTATTTTGTCTTCCTGAAGGGATTCTCTCTCTATCCCTTCACTTTGTGATGCCTCTATAACTAAATTACATCATTATTTCCTGCTAATTTTTCTATGTGACTGTTGACTCATAGACCATTCTACTTGGGGACACCCTTTGATTAGTTATCATCTTTGCGCTTCTTAGTGTATACATTGTTCAAGTAGCTTTAAATTCTTGCAGGTAGGTCTTCCCGGGACAGGAAAAACACTTCTAGCTAAGGCCGTCGCTGGGGAAGCTGAGGTTCCTTTCATCAGTTGTTCTGCAAGTGAGTTTGTAGAATTGTATGTCGGTATGGGAGCATCACGTGTCCGGGACCTGTTTGCACGGGCAAAGAAGGAGGCACCTTCAATAATTTTTATCGATGAGGTAGCCTGTGCTTTCCCTCTTTCCTTCTTCCTCTCCAAACTCAAAATATCCTAATAAAAAGTGTCTCCATTTTCCCGGATGTGCAGATAGATGCTGTGGCAAAAAGCCGTGATGGTAAATTCCGCATCGTAAGCAATGATGAAAGAGAGCAGACACTGAACCAACTACTCACTGTAAGATGTGCTGATTTTTTTATGTGCTACATCACTTCAGTTTTGCATAAGAAATTAATATTTTACAATAATCGGCAGGAGATGGATGGATTTGACAGTAATTCTGCTGTAATTGTCCTTGGAGCAACAAATCGCTCTGATGTTTTAGACCCTGCTCTTCGCCGACCTGGAAGATTTGATCGTGTAGTGATGGTTTGTATCTATCCTCTGCTGGAATAGAAATTTCGTTTATTATAAAGCTTTGTCCATGATTTGGAGCATTGGTCATGACCTCCTCATACAACAACTCCTATAGAAGGGAAGTGGTGATGTAAGTTTTTGTTTCAAGGTGGAAGCGCCTGATAGGGCTGGAAGAGAAGCTATCCTAAAGGTACATGTCTCCAAGAAAGAACTTCCCCTGGCACAAGATGTTAATCTTGGTAACATCGCTTCTATGACTACTGGTTTCACGGGGTAATCCTTCCTCTCTGATTTTCTTAAGCTTTCAATTTCGTCTATGATGTTTCTATGGCTGTCTGACTGTTCATCTTGGGGATTGTACAGGGCAGACCTTGCAAATCTAGTGAATGAAGCTGCTTTGTTGGCAGGAAGGCAGAATAAAGTTGTAGTTGAAAAAGAAGATTTCATTCAAGCTGTTGAGCGTTCAATTGCGGTATTGCTTCTTCCCTCTCAAAACAATGCTCTAATAGCCAAGTGACATGCATGCACCATTACTATTTCTGCATTACATGAAACTATGTTTCTCCGTTCTCATGTGCTATATCCTCGAATATTGCTGCTTGTAGTAGTTCAATAAGAGCTAAGTGGGCACATTTAAGAAGCTTGTTATAAGAAAAGATATCCATCTTAAGTATTCTCCCTTGAACAAGAGCCCACTAGGAAGGATTTTACATTTTTGGGCTCTATTATATGATAATTTTAACAAACTTGTATTGCCATTGCTTCAGAGAAGAGGTGCATGTTATCGGTCCTTAAACTTAGAATGTGTATGTTCCGCTGTCTTCTTCCTTTTTTTTTTCTTTTTTTTTGTTGTGATAATCGTGGTGTCCGGGCCAACTTAGGCGCACCGCGACTAATTCCATGGGATATCTGCTACCTCCCACCAACAACAGATACCGGGTAACTCTATCCACCAAGGCTTGGACAGATGGAAAGAAATCACCTAATGCTTTTTGTCTCCGCCGGGAATTAAACCTGAGACCTCATGGTTCTAACCTACTTCATTGACCACTAGGCCACACCCTTGGGTGCTATGTTCCACTGTTTTGGACCTTGATAGTTTTAAATGAATAGAATTTTGTATACAGTTAAAATATAATGGTCAGCAATGAGGAATATGTGCAAGACTCAAGATTCCTAACATTAGCGTTAATGGTAGAATTGGCTGAGTCAAGCTTCATTTGATCCCTCTTTTAGCTCAGGACCAGTGTCTTCTAGTTTCATGTGCACCAAACTTGAAGTACGAGCAGTCTTTGGCTTTGAGTAGAATTACATATTACTCAATTTATGTCTATGAATCCTGTATAACAAAATTGTAAAAAGCTTGAATAGGATGGGGAATAGTGACTGCCCTCTAAGAGCCCGTGCAAGGAAGAGCATTGTCCCAGGAAAATCCAACAAGGTTGAAGGTCTAATTCTTGGAAATTCTAGATGGGCTACAAGTTATAGTTTGTTTCCCCCATGCTTAATCTAGCACTGCTGGTTTGTTGGTCAATAGGAAAATAAATGATAAAAGTATTTCTTGTTCTTGATTAGGGGTGGCAAACGGGCGGGTCGGGTCGGATATGGGACGGTCGAAAACGGGTAATGAAAAAACGGATAAATTATCCGACCCGACGCATATTTGATAAGGATAAAAAACGGGTTAACCGGCGGATAATATTGGTAACCATATTATCCATGACTTCATGAATATGATCACTTTTGGAAGAATTCCTAGTCTCCCAAACTTGAGGAACCTCCAATTTGAGGCTTTACAAATGTAAAAGTTAAACCCATTAGGTATCCATTGGTTATCCATTTTCTAAATGGATAATATGGTTCTTATCCATATTTGACCCGTTTTTAAATAGTTCATTATCCAACCCATTTTTTAGTGGATAATATGGGTGGTTAACTGTTTTTTATAACCTTTTTGCCACCCATTTTTGATCATGCTCTGCTATGCCAGGTGATTTGTATATTTTAGTTGTTCACCAATTCCATTCAGGTTTACAAGCTTCATTTTCAATGTTTCAGGGCATTGAGAAGAAGACTGCCAAGCTGCAGGGCAGTGAGAAGGCTGTAGTTGCAAGGCATGAAGCAGGTCATGCAGTAGTTGGGACTGCTGTTGCAAATCTTCTTTCTGGGCAGCCACGGGTTGAGGTAATCATTATTTTCACTTGCTCTGAGAAAGTTTATTTCTTACTGATTTACTACAAGCTCACATTATTTGTTTCACTAGTCGACTGGTTTTGTGTCACACTGGATAACATCTGATAAAAGAGACTGATCCCCCCACATTATTTGTTTCACTAGTCGACTGGTTTTGTGTCACACTGGATATCATCTGATAAAAGAGACTGANTTGCTCTGAGAAAGTTTATTTCTTACTGATTTACTACAAGCTCACATTATTTGTTTCACTAGTCGACTGGTTTTGTGTCACACTGGATAACATCTGATAAAAGAGACTGATCCCCCCACCCCCACCCCCCAACACACACACACACACAAACACAAACCAAAAAAACAAAAGAAAAAAGAAGAGAACTCTCTAATAGAATTACTCAATATTTAGAATTTCTAGGAAGATATTTTCAGAAAAGGAAAATCAGCACGTCTGCAAGTCTTGAATAGCCTGGTATTTAACCATTTCCAGAGACATAATACATCAGCAAGACCTCTCCTTTGCATTTGGCATGGGACCTCTAAATTCTAATATCGTTTAAATTGGGTTTTGCTTGTTCTTGGGTTATGGAGCCTTAAAAAACAGTTGGATCATTGATCAATGTCACTGCTCTGACCTATCCTTCTTGACGTGGTATAACTGTTATTATGGCAAAATAAAATAAAAAATAGAAAATGGGGAAGTAGTGACTTTTTGGTGTCTCGTTAAGTGATAAAAATGTCCAAAATGGAAAGATATTAGTGTCTGGATTTAATACTTTATCCCAGAAAAGGAAAAACAAGTGGGTGTCTGGATTTGATAAGGAATAGGAAATGACTTGGTTCTGATGTCAGACTCGAATACAACTCAATATGCTGCCTATTACTTGACCTCTATTATACCTAATGAGGCAAAGCTGGAAGAATATTATTTACATAAGCATCTTACTTATCAGGAAAAAAAACATAAGGTTCTCCCTCCCTTTCTTTTCTGTCTTTCTCCAGATTCATGGAAATGTATGCACTGGCTAAAAGGTTCTAGGCCTCTGTGGCAAGCAGCTCTGGGTTTGTTTTTCCTTAATGTGTTTCCTCAAAAAGAATACTATAATTTTTTGGTTGAGTAGGTAAGGTAAATTGTTCCAAGATTTTGGTGTTAGTAAATAGAGAGTGACTTCCCCTCCCCCTCACCCCCCCAACCCAACAACCCAACTTCATTCTTCTCAATGTGAAAGTTGTTTCTTATGAAACATCTGAAGACATTTTCCTTGTTACTTCCCCTTCCCTCTCTTTATTGATCTTGATGGCGCCAGTTAGTTCATTATCTCCTCCCCCGATTATCCTGCAATTAAAATGTATTTCTATATCAATGGAACAATACCAACATGGTTCTGAAAGTTGTCTTCCTGCAAAGGTCTCTCAATTTGTTTGCTCCTTCTTGTGTGAAATATTCCAAGTGAAGTCAGCCGTTTCTATATCGGTGCATGATCCTTAAAGGCTTTTACCAAAATGAGTATTTTGCTGCTTCTCAATCGTGCTCATCTCAAAGACTCAAACTGCAATTATTGCTTTTCTTGTACGTAATTGGGAATATTGCAGTTATGGTTTCAATAACAGCTCCCTTTTCTCGTTAATCAGAAGCTAAGCATATTGCCGAGATCTGGAGGGGCTTTAGGATTTACTTATATTCCTCCAACCAATGAGGACAGATATCTGCTATTTGTTGATGAGTTACGGGGAAGATTGGTCACTCTTCTTGGTGGACGTGCAGCGGAAGAAGTCTTGTACTCTGGACGTGTATCTACAGGTGCTCTTGACGATATACACAGAGCAACAGACATGGCCTACAAGGCAGTGGCTGAATATGGTCTTAATGAAACCATTGGCCCTATTTCAGTGGCAACTCTTTCCGCTGGTGGAATGGATGATAGTGGATCCATGCCCTGGGGAAGGGATCAGGTATTTTCTACTTTTCCCTCTCTCGTGATGTCTGCTTTATTTATTTTTTGGATAACCGTGGTGTTGGGGCAAGCTTGCGCGTACTTTGACTAATTCCACGGGATACATGCTACCTCCCACCAGCAACATGTACCATGTAACTCTGCCCTAGCCTTTGCTTGGACAGATGAGAAGAAATCATCTAGTGTTTTTGCCTCCGCTGAGATTTGAACCTGAAATCTTATGGTTCTCAACCCACTTCATTGACCACTAGGCCACACCCTTGGGTGCAATGTCCGCTTTCTTCTGCTTTAATACTCTGGTTTCTAACTTAAGAATACAACCTCCTTAACAGAACTGTAATTAAAATTTATTCCAACAGGGGCATCTTGTTGATCTTGTCCAAAGAGAGGTCAAGGCCTTACTACAGTCTGCACTTGATATTGCACTTTGTGTTGTACGTGCTAATCCCACAGTTCTTGAGGGGTTGGGAGCTCAATTGGAAGGTAATACTTAATGATGCTTTTACTTACCGGTTAACATTTTGATATTCTTTAGTATTGCTTTCTTTTAGCATCTTCACAAGGCAGTGATTTTACATTGAAGCTTGTGTAAACATAATTAAGTAAATAAAGTTGTGCTCTCTATAACAACTTAAGCTTTTAGATGAGATGCTCACACGATTTAACTTGGTTCTCACTGTAACTCATTATCAAAAATAACTTTCATGTGCCAAGCACATGAAAAACAATCATGCTTGCATGTGCAGGGGTGTGTTGAATCATACTTTAAGTAAATAGAAAAGTGCTCTTTTTACAGCTTAAGCTTTAAGACGAGAAGGTCACACAATTTAACAAAGTAAGTTAAGAGAATCTTATTTTGATATATTGATTAACAATGAAGATCTTATTTTAATATTCTCTTTCTTCCACCTCAGAGAAAGAGAAAGTAGAAGGTGAAGAACTACAAGAATGGTTGAGCATGGTCGTTGCACCGGCGGAACTTAACTTTTTTGTTAAGGGCAAGCAAGAGTCTTTACTTCCATTGCAAGCAAGCTCTGGATGACAGCTGCAAGCTTAACCAAGTCATCTGTATCAAAAGAAAATTCGAGTAAGGACTTTCACGTCATCATCTTTGCTCTAAGGAAAACAAAGCTATATTCCTGGACCAGATGGACACGGCGTGCTGGCACCCGGCCAGCTTGATTTTGTATGTGTTACTAAGGTCATTGACAGCTACTTAACTCCTATAAACTCCACTGTTATATACCACGATCACAGGTTGGTAATTCAAAGAGAAGGCATATACTAAAGATGAGTCAAGAGTTTTCTTGATCCTAGAAGTGAAAGGAAAATAGGCTTGTGATCGAAGTGATGTTTGTTGGTATATTTCTTCTACGTCACTTGTACATGTGCAATTATTCTTAGTAGTTACGAGAATCAATATTTGTATCATACATCTGTACCTCATCTTACAAAGAAGTAATCCATGTTCTGATGTTGTGAGATGAAAACTGTGTATACAATGTAATCTTTGCGATTATGGGACAAAAGTATCATTAGGCTGCTATAATTCTTGACTTATGTAAATGTTGATAGTTTATCTTATTAGTAAGATTTCTTACAGCCCTATGTTTTTGTAAATTAGAAGTATTTGATGAGATGAAATGTTGAAAAGAGGCTTGTAAGTGCAGGAGAGATTGCCAGGCCAAGTAGATGATGAAATGACAATTAAATGACTTTTTGTACTTGGATTTAGTTGATTTCTTGTTTATTCATGGATGTGGAGCCATTTTTTGAGGCTGAGTTAGCATTCATTAAAATGACTAAGAGGGTGTGTGTGTAAGTTTATAAACTGATCAAGTACTTTTTGGTTTTTTTAAGTGCTTATAATTTAAAATCGATCAAAAACTATAAATCGGCTTTTAAAATTTTGGTTTGACCAAGATTACTATTTTATTCTTAATGTCTTTGTAATCTCCGAAATATCATTTCTCATACAAAACCCTACCTCCCTCTACAATAATATATAATCCCACAGTGTGGGGAGGATAGTGTGTACAAGATAGAGAGGTTGTTTCCAATAGACCCTCGACTCAAGGAAATTAACACTTCTATACCAAACAAATCAATGTGCTTATTACCATTTTAGCACTTCGATTCAAACACATTATAGCTACTTATTTATAAAAGTTGCTTCAAACTAAAAAGTGCTTTTGAATGGTTATCAGTTACTCTCAACTAGTAAAGCAAAGTGCAAAACAAGCTCTAAAGTGTCAATTGGCAAGTGGTTAACTTTCTCTCTGGCTGGTAATGAGAACAAGAAATACCACTGTTGCATAGCATAATGCAAATGTGGAGGTAATAGATTCTTAGTGATGATATTTTGGGAAGCACCCAAAATATCACAATTATTGCTTTGTGATATTTATAACTAGTGCTTATAGTCTGTCCAAAGACCACAAAAAGACAGTAGCCTCAATTTTTTTGCTATCTTTTAATCATATCAATTTTGGCAGCTAGTCTATGATTTTTTTCAGTGACTCTTAGCTTTTGTCCATTGTCATTATTAAACCTAATGCTATCATCCTTCTCTATGTTTAAAATAGCTCTAGAGTTGGTTGATTCAAAATAGAGTGATCTTATAATATGTATAAAATTTAATTTTGCTTTATATATGTATATATAGTTTGAGCCAAAGCACTTGTTCAGCTCAACCCCCAAAATTCCATTTTGAGACTCAAACATCGTTTCCATTGGCAAAGATTTTCTTGACATTTTTTTGGGGTAAATAAACGACTTTTATTACCAAAATTGGAGTGTTTATACAGGAAAAAAGACTACTGGACATCAAGCCCCAGTACTAGTCAAAGTATCACAAACTAAGATTTTCTAGACCTTTTAATACATTCCATTATAAATAATGTGATTTGTCGTACTTTTATGGAGTTCCTACATATATGGTATTTCAATTCATGTACCGGTTATTTGACCTATATACATAGTATAATTGTTCGAGAATCACTAGTCGCGGACTGTACTTCGGCCTCATCACTTCAGATAAATTATGAATGATGTGCCATGGACCATGGCATTTACTTGTGCTTTTCTATGAAATGGAACACTACATTATTAACATTACATTATTTTTTCCGATTTCATCATCTAAAATATACTAGAGGAGAGATGGCTCATGCTCAGCATGGGCCAACACTTAATTACAAAAATAATTTTCTTAATTTTATTTCTCTAGTTATTTCGTAAAGATTATTTATACTAATTTAAATAATATATTTAAAGATAGAAAATTTATACGCATCTTTATTTAATAAAAATATTGTTTTTTCGAGTTAACATCTGATTTTAAACTTATTTTGTTAGAATTAAACATCAGCGAAAAAGATATAAAAAAGTTTCCAATATTTCATTAGCTTGCTTCTTTTTTTGTTTTTTTTTGTGTATTGTTTTTTCCTCATATTCTAATTTAAAATTTACAATAATTTTTTTTAGCAAAATAATAAGTAGGCTTGTTGGTAACACAAAAAAATTCATAGGCAACACATGTTGATAATTTCTTAGTGAGTTAAATGTAAAAGAAAAAAAAGACCCTAATTTATTTAAATCTCATCTGAATAACTAAAGAGTTTGTACTTTTTTTCGTTGATAATTCATTTGCCAATAGTTTTAAATAAGATGAGATGTCCTCTTCTAGCATAAGGGAAACCATGTGTTACATTAAAAGTGGACCTGAAAAAATATAGAAACAAATATTTCTAAAAGAATACCAGCTCTACTCTTTCTTTTTAGAGACTTTTCTTATTAAGTGCTTGAATTAAAGATAATTATTTGAGCAATTGCATCTTAAATTGTTGACTTGACCTTCAAAATAATCAGGAAGATAGTAAAGTTATTATAGTTTGAATAATAATATCGTGAGTTCTAATTTGAACCCATGTTATTTTCTAATCAGATTACTCTTTTCTTATTATATATACAAAAAACATAAATTTACTACTAATATTCTATTTTCTTTTTCCTTTTTCACGTGAAATATCGTCATTGGGTTTTCTTTTTTTCTTTTTCCTAATACTGCAGTATTATGCTATTTTACAAATTTTAGTATATTCTCTATTATTATTACTCCGTTATTTTGTGTTTCCAATTAAAATAAGAAGTTGGAATACAACTGTGTTGCAATGTCGCCAAAAGGAAAAACATGTGCACATGTTGGCAGTCCACGTGGTAATTTTTTACTTAACATTACATGCAAAGCAAAAAGTGATGAATGACATTTTTTACACTTTTAAGGGCCTGCAAAGTTGCCTTAATTACCACAATGTATAATGGCAACTCAAGTAATAATGGACCATATCAGGGTAAAATTTTGAGTGAACATCTGTCCTTTTTCAGCTACAGAAGCACGAAGTACTGTAATTTCCAAAGTACCCCTTCTGATTCAAAATATAACCGAATATACCTCAATTTGTATTAGGACAACTAAAAGAATAAACTAAAATACTATGGTTGTTCCGTCATTTCACTTTGAGCGAAAGATCCTCTCGATTCTCTCTTATTAATAGTAATATAGTAATAACGGACTCAAGTTATATCCCAAAAAAATAACATTTTAATTAACACTTACATGAATAATTGGACACAAATTTGTTTTTCTCAATTTGCAGCTAGACCTAGTTCCTTAATAATTTTTTTCTTTATACATATTAATTCAACTTTAGTTTTGTGTATAAAAGAATTGGAGATTTAGGTGGAAGCAAGTTGTAGTACAAAAATGCGAATAAAATTTTACTAAGGAGTTTCATGCTTTTAATATTGTATCGATAGATGCAAAGTATGTGTGTTGCATCTTATTGTATGTTCGTTGGGCGTTACCTCATATTAATGAGAAAAGTTTTTAAAAACGACATATATATTATTCAAAAGATGTGTTTATGTTATAATATAATAATTAACAAAAAAATTATATGTTTTAAATGATAATTGTGTTAACCATGTTTAGAAATTTGATCTATTCTAGTAGTTCTTCCTTTAATTTGTTCAAAAACTTGCTTCATTATACAAAAATATCATAGGAATAACATTTGATTGAAATGTGAAAATATATTTTGTGCCTACCCTCTTTAAAAGTTTTAGAACTATAATAATTAAGACCCTTAAACCTAAAAATGATGTTCGAAACTAAAAATATGATTTCAAGGCATTTGGCCTGCGTGCCTTAACCTAATCTGAATTTTTAATATATGGTTTTTAAGCTTCTAAATCTGAAAACGTGATTTTCTTTTACAAATAAGGTATAGTACATAATTAGAATAGGAAAAAAATTAATACATAAAATTTAATTAATTTTGATGTCCTAAATATTTAAGAAATAATTAAGGTCCTAAATATTTAAAAAATAATTAAATGACTATTTTGTTCATTGCAAATTTTTTGACACTTCCTAAAGTAAAACTATGCAAGTTTTGATGATAAAAACAATAGAATAGTAAAACTTCTTTTTATAGAAGCATTGCATATATAATTGAAGCAGGAAAAGATTTATGTAAGGTAAAAATAAAGACTCCTAAAACAAAAAGGAGTTCAAAGTGCTTATTTTTTACCTAATAACTTATAAAAAAATTAATCTAAACGTAAAATGAGTACAAAGTGGTTGAAACTTTTCTAGTATAAAATGAAAGTGCTTGAAATTTAATTGAGTTAAAATTTTATTTAAAAGGTCTCCTAAAACTAAAAGGAGTTACAAAGTGGTCGAAAACTTTCCTAAGATAAATTGTGTTTGAAATTTAATACTTCTAAATTTAAGTGGAGGTAGAAAGTGAAAAACCATCCTAAATCTAAAACTAAATGGAGTTTGAAAGTGACGACAATTTTCTTATAAGATCATCTTAAACATATAAGGAATACAAAGTTTCGAAAAAATTTCTAGTGGTAATTGAAAGTTCATGAAATTTAATACTACCAAATCTACATGGATTTGAAAAGGCACGACTTGTAGAATTAGAAGGAACAGAAAATTAAAATCCTAAATAGTAGAAGAATAATTAAATGAGTATCTCTAAATATTAAAAAATTTATTAAATAAATTTTTTATTTATTAGAGAAATAAATATAAGTAGCTTATAAAAGGAGATTGATGTGTGGCTATAATTCCATAGTTTCGTACATTATTTGCCTTGCATTTCATATACTTTAATAATAAACTATACTTTATTTGTGCGTAATGGAGTCTATTTTGTGTGTAGGTGAATTGGAGATGAAAGTAGAGCAAAAAGGAATACTTAAAGTCTAAAGCGTGCTAAAAAACAACAGTTGAAAAGAAGAAGGAAAGAAGTGAGCAGCTGACAAATGAAAAGTTGGCGAAGCCAGGCCTAGAACAGGCGTTAAAGTAAGCTGGGCGAGCTCTTTAGCTCGCGTGGGAGCTGGCGAAGTGAGGCTTGGGGCGAGGTCCACCAGGCTATGAAGCTGGCGAGGCGAGGCAGAAGGCGAGCTCAAGCGGGCGTTACACCTCGCGACACCAGGCCTGGGGCGAGCTTAAGCAGGCGTTATGCCTCGCGAGGCCAGGTCTGGGCGTGCACATTCAGAGCTTTGAAGACTTATTTCGTCTCCTGATTTGACTAGGACTTAGCCTACGTATTTAGGTCTTTTTTTACACATACAAATAGACATAAAAATGCC